TAATTTTTTTTCAGTGCTGGGAATCAATGCATGCTAGGCTTCATGCATGCTAGGTAAATGCTTTACCACTAAATTACATCCCAGCCCTCTCAGTATTTTTCCCCCTGTACTGGGGATTGAACCCAGGACCTTCACATTTAGCCCTTTTTATTTTTCTGAGACAGGTTCTCACTCTGTGATTCAGGCTGGCCCTGAACTCACTATGTAGCCCAGGCTGGCCTCAAACTCACAGCAATCCTCCTGCCTTAGCATCTCCAGTGCTGGGATTACAGGCATGTGCCACCACTCCCGTTGGAGTGGTGTTTTGTTTTTGTTTGTTTGTTTTGTTTTGTTTGGTACCAGGAATCTGAACTCAGGACCCTGCACTTGCCAGGTAGGTACTTGTGCCACTGAGCTATATCCCCAGCCCCTGGTGTTTTGTTTTTATGGAATTTTGTTATTTTTTATTTTTTTAAGACAGTGTTCCACTGTGTATTTCAGGCCAGCCTTGAACTAATAGCCTACCTTGGCCTCAGATTTGCGGGAAGCATCCTGCCTCAGCCTTGTGGGTGCTGAGACTCTACCTGTGTACCAACACATCCAGAATATTTTAAAATTCTGAAACAAGGTATAGCTAAATTGTTCAGTTGCCCAAGCTGGGTTTGAACTCTCAGTCATCCTGCCTCAGCCTCCTAGAGTGTTGGGATTACAGGTGTGCACCACCATATCCAGTTCCCACTACTTTATTAATTAATTAATTTATTTATTTATTTATTTTGTGACAGGGTCTTGCTATGCAGCTTAGGCTGGTCTTGAACTACGTAGCCCAGGCTGACCTTGAACTCACAGCAATCCTCTTGCCTTAGCCTCATGAGTGCTGGTATTACGGGCATACACCACCATGCCCAGTAATATTTTTTATTTTTTGTCTTTTTTTTTTTGGTACCAGGAATCGAAGTCAGGACCTTGTGCTTGCTAGGCAGGCACTTGTGCCACTGAGCTATATCCCCGGCCCCTATTTTTTGTCTTTTTGAGACAGAATCTCACTGTGAAGTTCAGGCTAGCCTTGAGCTCACGTTGTAGCCCAGGCTGGTCTCAAATGTGCAATGATCCTCCTGCCTCAGCCTCCAGAGTGCTGGGATTGCAGGCATGCACCACCATGCCTGACTCCGGCATTATTTTAAATTTAAAGAAATTACACACACCGTCAGATTGAATCTTTTAACACACTAATAAGGTATGTATAACTAGATCACAGATACTGCTAATATTTCAGAATGGTCTTTCAATATAGTTGATTTCCATTGTAATCCTATATATTTTGTTTGTTTGTTTGCAGTACTGGGGGTTGAACCCAGGGGCTCTTTATCACTGAGCTACCTCCTCAAACCTTTAAAAAAAATTTTTAAAAGAAATTTTGAGACAGAGTCTTGTTAAGTTGCTCAGGAGGGACCTGAATTTTTGATTCTCCTGCCTGTCTCCCTAAATGCTGGGATTACAGGTGTGTGCCACCATCCCTACACATTTTATTTTGTACATTTGAAACTATTTCCTTAACAAAGAGTCCACAGGCCTCAACAGTTTGTAACAGGCAACCAAGAGACAAACAGAAAGACTCTCCTGTTCTGGACTATATTCAAGTCATCCTCTCTAAGGAGCCTCCCTTTGCCATTCCACCTCTTTTTTTTTCCTGTGGCAGTGCTGGAGGCTAAACGTGGGTCTTTGCACAGCCTAGACAAGGGTTCTACCCCAGCTCTCTCTTCCATCCCACCCTGCTGTTTAAATATGGGAAGTCCACGTCAGTCAGAGCTTTGGGCTCTGGCATCCACCGTTCTACATGGACTCCATTCAGGATGGTACAATAATGCTAGACTGGTCTGGCCTCAGGATCCAAACCGTTTATCCACAGGGCTCTGGTTCCTGAGAGCGCCACCTCTGTTCTGACACAGAACTGCATCAGTCCCTAGGCTACCGACACATGAAATTTCCCCTGCTATACGTCACTAAGCTGCCAGAGACAAATACAGTAGATGCCATCTCTCAGTTCACCACACATGACCCCACTTCCTTGGCCAGGCTAAGTGGAGGCAAGTGCTTGACTCAACCAAGGCCAATCAGAACTAATAGACAGCAGAAGACCCACTGTCCCTCTGTCAACAGGGAAGAAAGCAGAGAGACTCCGAAGGGACTAGGGAACTACAAAGCAGGCCAGCGCCTCCAGTGAATCCCTGGGTCCCACAGGGTACCTTAGCATTGTATTTCCCTAAGAGTCACCTGGTGCCTTACTACCAGGTCCCTATAGGCAGAAATTTGAGGGCTGGGGATATAGCTCAGCAGCACACTGCCCGCCTGGCAAGTGCAAGGTAGGGAGTTCAATTCCTGTTACCAAAAAGAAAGAAAACCTTGAGATCCATCACCTCCTTTACTCTTTTCTATAGTACTGTGAAACAGATGTCCCTTATCATCCTAATGGCACCCAGAAAACCATACACACAGTACAGGGATAGGGCCCTCAGAAGCAAGCTTTAAAAAGGAAAGTCTTAGCTGGGCATGGTGGAGAATGCCTGTAATCCCAGCACTCAAGAGGCTGAAGCAGGACTGTCATGAGCTGAAGGTGAACCTAGGCTACATAATGAGACCCTGTCTCAAAGAAGAAAAAAGGAGCCAGGCGTGATGGTGCACACCTGTAATCCCAGCACTCAGGAGGCTGAGGCAGGAGGATCATTGCGAGTTCGAGGCCAGCCTGGGCGATAAAGTGAGTTCAAGGCCAGCCTGAACTGCATAGTGAGACCCTGTCTCAAAAACACAGAAAAAAAAAAAAAAA